GTTCTATCCATGTTACATGATCCTTGTTTTCTTCATAACCTTTTTACATTAAATTCATTTAATCAGCTTATTGGTGCATCTTTCCTCCATTAGACAGACACAAGCCATCTAAATTTATTTTCCACTACCTTATCTTGAATGATGCTACTCCTATAGACACTCTCACCAAATCATTTTTCATACTAGCTTTCCTAAGTTTCTCGATTAGTTACCTAAATATTATAATTTTTACAACAATCAACTTGACTGCCAACAATTTGTTTATCACCAACGCAGATCTATATTGGACATCCTACAAATTGGACTTTTAAAAAACTAACCATTCAAGTTTTAAGGGCCTGTTTGGGGCAGCTGCAACTTATCCAGCTTATGCTGATAAGCAGTTTATCCTGATAATCTGCTGAGGAGCAGCTGATCCAGATAAGTTGGCTAGCTGTTTGATTTGTGCATTTGGATACAGCTGATTTGCAGTTGTTTGTGGATAAATGACTAGTTTGCCCCTGAACTGAATAAGTTGTTTAGTTGTTTGGTTACTGCGGTTTGAGAATAACTGTTTTGCAGCTTTATGAGAAAAAAAACCATTTCGGTCACGCGCAGTGGAGATGTTTGTGACGGTAGTATTACACTTCATAAGTCTTTTATCTTTTTCTTTGTAAAGGTACACTCCTAATCTTTATTACTATTGATATAGATATCACTAAGAAAATGATTCAAGTAAAAAAGCAAGCCCAACAATAATTAAGCAAATACACATTATTAATACATCAATAATTACAACTCTAAAGATACATATTACTAACAACACACTCCATCCCTAATAATACCAAGAGAATCTGATAATATGCACCCTATATTTTAACCACCTTGAAAACAAACAGCAATGTACCAATTAATTTAAATTAAATTAAATCAAATCAAGTAGATGCGGAAATAATTTCTCTCGATCAAACAATACTCAATGATTGCATTAACTCCACATGAAACCTATGCTCAATTAAAATATGAACAGAGCCACCCATCTCCAAGTAAATTAATACTTAACATAAACTCAAACCAAAGAGAATGAGGGACATAAGGCCTATATTCATGAACAGTTAGGGACAAATAGTTTACTAGTTCCAGGAAGCTCAAATAACTAAATTTATCAATAGTAAGCAATACCAAAAACTCCAATTTTGATTAAAAATCCTTACTCAAAGCCCATCTATAATACGCCTTTAGGATGAAACACAGAAAAAAGAAATTTGATTTCACTTCATACACGCCGCTTTCCTAGTTTCTTAAAAGCTCCTTCCTTTTTCACTTATGGCACACATCACAGCAAGAACCATCCTAACTAGAAAGCCTAATGAAGGAGAATGTAATTCAGAAGGAGGATCACTCAGAA